GACATTCTGAGGATCTGCCAGGAAATAGAGGCAGGGAGGGAGGGCAGCGCATTGACGGGGCTCCTGAGGATGGGGGCTGGCCCTAGGGGTTGTGCTATAGGGACAGGGAAGGGGCTAATTACCTGGGATGGGAAGGCCACAGGGAGACTCCCATCATCCCCGCTGGGTGCAGGGGTTAGGCCTGAGGCTCAAAGAGCTGTGCTGATGCAGGCAAATTCCATCCCGGCCAGTGCCTTCGACTGTTTGCCTCTGAGGGGTTTAATCCACTAGAGCGGCAGACACCGAATCAATGCTAACAGGTGTAATCTCACTGCCTCAGTCCATGCCCCCCCACACACACACGTATTAAAGTCAGCTCAGCCCCTAGCTGCAGGTCCGCCTCAGCCTCCAGGCCTGACCTCCCAAGCTTGGGCTGCATTTGGGTGGGGCCAGGCCAAAGGGAAAAGGAGCAGGGTTTGGATTCAAATCTTAATCAATCTCTTGGCCTGAGCCTCGGTTTCCTCATGTGTAAAGATAGAGAGCCAGCAGGGTGCCTGATGTCCTGCAGAGCAGTCTCCTCCCCGTTGCTGCTCAGGACTTTGAGCAAAGGGATGGGCTCTGTCCTTGTCCTCAGAGGCTCCAGGCCTGGCCCATGGAGGCTTTCCCAGGGGGATGGTCATGGAAACTTCTGGAACTGAGAAGGGTACTCAAGACCCATGTGCTTTTGCAAGCTCCCCAGCTCACAGCCAGCAGGTCAATTCTAACTCACATTGACCCTATAGGACAGGGGTAGAGCTGGCCCTGTGGGCTTTTGAGACTCTCCCTCTTTATGGGAGTAGAAAGCCAACGTTCATCTTACTGTATTTAAATTACCTGGCAAAAAAAAGAAAAAGGAAACTAGACCCAGAGCTCATAGTGTCCATATTAATAAGAGTGGGGGTGGGCGGAATTGCCCCCCCCCCCATTCCTTTGATCCCTGCTGGTGCAGTGGTTAAGACAGTCTGGTTGCTAACCAGAAGATCTGTGGTTCAAATCCGCTAGCCATTCCATTGGAAACCGATGTGGCAGTTTGCTGAAGCCTTGGAAACCCTCTGGGGCAGTTCTATGGCGCCCTCTAGGGGTGCCACGAGAGAACAGACTGGGTGGCAGAGGATTGGGTATCATTTGGGATTTCTTTGAGTGGGTCGTGGGCTGAGGCACATCTATCGTTAGACTGCTGTTTTCAAAAATATGCTTGTTCTTTAACAGCAATCCATCATAGCAGGGGAGGAAAGTGCTTGAAGTGTTAAAATGTGAAAGTCCCTAAAGAAAGCCCCCCCTGGAAAATGATACCAGGGAGGCCACACCCTTCCAGAGTTCTCTCCGTGCGCACGGTGCATCCTGCTGCATCATCGTGGCAGAAATGGGATCGCTGCTGTTTCAGAGCAGGGTGGGTCCCAGACATCTGTCCACAGCAGTATAACCACAACAGAAAGGCCACAACCAGACCCACGGCCATCAAGGCCGTTCCAACTCAGAGGGACAGCCGAGAGGGCCCCCGGAGGATTGCCAAGATGGCAGATCTTCCCAGGGCAGCTGCCTCCTCTTTGTGGAGCGGCTCGCGGCCTTCAACTGCCAACCTCACAGTCAGCAGCTCAACCGTTTTGCCTTAGTCATGGCTGTGTGGCATTTTCACTAGGTGATCATTTACCTAGCAGGTGCCCCGTGCTGGGGGCCACTGAGGTGGCTTCGTGGGCCACACAGCTTGACCTCGTTGGACAAGTATCTCCATGGGGCTACTTTCTGGAAGTTGAGTTGCTGGGTGTACACAGTTGATGGTCATGAACACACAGTTCTTGTTTTGAGAGACGATGCTGACTTGTGCCCACAGAAGCCTGGACCTGTCTTTGGACTCGTTCTTGCAGCTGTTCCCATGCCCCCCATCCTGAGTGAAGATGCCCGCCTCTCTTACTCCCGCCTGCCCTGGAGATCTGGCTTGTGATCTCATCTGCCCGCCCCAGGACCCCTTTTCCCAGGCTGCCAAAGAGTTGGGCTGGATGACTTGTAAGGTCTTCCAGTTAATGGTACCTGGGAACCAGTTGGTACCTGCTTATTAGCCATTCATTAAATCATAGACATTTATCATTTCGAGCAGTTATGGTAAAAGTGTTCATTCGGGTGAACAGGAGGGCGACACACAATAAGAGGGAGGTCGAAAACCGATGGCAGCCGGGCACAATGTGAGGAGGTGTGCAGAGTTAGAGGCAACAGAGGTGAGGACTGCGTGTTCCCAGTCCTGCAGTAGTGACGGTCTATGAGGAGATGCTTGGGGCGGCGCACAGGCTGAACAGGTAGGAGAGAGAGAGCAGGTGTATGCTCAGGATCTACGTGTTTGACCGAGAATACTTGTATATGTGTATTTACTTTCGCTGCAAATATACCCATGAATGGGTGGGCCACACAGGGGGCAAAGTTACGAGAACTTCTTAAGACATAACCAGACACCCTGACGGAATGAGTTGCTGGCCCTGGAGGGCCAGGACCCTAGTCTTGGGGGACACCGATGTCACACTCAGCTCACAAAGACACTGTCCTGCATCCTGCTTTGGTGAGGAGTTACGGGGGTTCTTAAAAGCTCATGAACAGCCGCTAAGGTACAAGTGTTCTTCCCGTCCAGAGGAAAGAGCAGTGATGAAAATCAAAAGCCTCATAGAAACCTTTAATCCAGGGAACTCACGGCTCAGGCAAACCTCAGTCTCCACAAGCCCGAAGCCAGAACTAGATGGTACCTGGCTACCACTGCCAAACTGCTCTGAAAAGGATCACATTAGAAGGTCCTGGCTAGAATGGAGGGGGAAATGTGGAGCAAAATCCCAAATCATACCCGAGACCACGCTTACTGTTGGGATAGAGACCGGTGGACCCCCAAGACCATGGCCCCTAATCACCCTTCAGGTCAGGGACTGAACTCACCCCGTGTGAGAATAAGCAAACCGTTTAGGATCAAAAGGGCAGCAGTCACCCAGCAGCGAGGGAGGGAGCACAGAGGGTTTGGAAAGAAGGTGGGATGGAAATGGGAAACCGTGGGAGCAAGCGTGATAAGCGGTGGGATGTTCAGAGGATTGCAATGGATGTGCGGAAACAAAATGCATATCAACCGTCCATTGTAGAACCGGCGATCCACTCTGTAAACGTCCACCCAGTTCGCACTGAATTGCTAAACCAAATATGGAAAGGAATCTCAAAACGCATCACTTCCCAACGATTCTGCTCCCTTTGACTGCTTTTGCCCCTCGCCACTCGGGGTTAATGTGTTCTGTGGTGAAATGCTCTTTAATCATGAGCCTGTCTCTTCCCGATCTGTGTAGTGAAACCAGCCAGGTGGGTGTCTACACCACGGAAATGGAAAATGCTACCAGTCAAGGCTCCCAGCCTAGGTGGAGAGTCCATCGCCTGCCAGCGCTCATAATGCATTTCACCCTACAGAACCCATCCCAAACGTCGGCATGGACCTTCCTCCAGTGGCCAAGAACCTCGAGGAGGTGAGATGCCGTGGGAACAAAACCAGAGCAGGCCAAGAGGTTCAGGGACCGGGGCTCTGCCCTGCGTGAAGTCAGGTAGATCGGAGATCCACCTCTCTGGGTAGGTCAGAACCTCCACGCCCTTTTCCATAAAATGGAAGTGAAAACAGCAGCCATCTTGTAAGGTGGCTGGGAGCCGACCCAAGCAGCCTTGCCGTATCTCAAGTGATGAGAGGCAAGTGTTCTCAGGAGCCACAGGCCTGGGGACACATCCCTGCTAAGCGATTTCGCCTCTCCAAGTCTTGGTTTCTCATTGATCCGCGGGGCAGGGGTGAGAGTGCAGAGACCAAGTGTTAGGACCGGCTTCAGTGCCGTGGGGCGCCGAGAGAGGAGTCTCTACTGCTGCTCCTGCTCTGACCCCCCCACAAGCGGCTCCCTCGACCCCTCCTTCTGCTCCAAACCCTCATGGACTGCCTGGCCTCCCCTGGTGGGCAAAGGGGTGGCCACAGCCATGCCCTGTGGCGGTAGGTCGATGACAGGCAGGACACAGGGCCCCTGCCTTGGTCAGAGTTTCAGAGCACCTGGAAAGACACCAGGCTGAGAAGGGGTCCCTCCTCAGCCCCCCCTAACCTGAGCCTGCACCCAGGGCCCCCTCATCTAACCTGCCACCCGGACTGCTTGGGAAGGGAGAAGCAGTGGATGCTGAGGGTTGTGGAGCCAAATTCCTCTAACATGCACACTGCCTGCATGACTTCACCTCCAGCAGCAGCCCCGGGGGGTGGGGGTGGGGTGGGGTGGGAGGAGGGCAGGTAGCGTGCTTCCATCCCGACTCCACAAAGGAGAAAATGGGAGCTCAAAGGTGCTGGTGCCCAGAGGTGCCCCTCGGTCGGTTCCAACTCCTCGAGGCCCTCCGTAAAACAGAACGCAACGCTGCCCGGTCCTGCGCCACCCCCAAAACGGTGCTGATGTTAGGGTCCCTCCACGTAGCCACCGGGCGATTCATCCTGTCGAGGGTCCAAGGTGGGAGAGCATTTGCTCAAGGTCACATGGCGAGGAAGAGCCCGCCCGCATCTGACTCCAGAGAGCCCACACTCAAACCCAGGACCACACGTGCACACGGCTCCTTCCCATGCGGCCTTCCTTGGACAAGGCCAGGCCCAGGTACGGCAAAGAAGTCTCCTGGGGCCACACAGCAGGGACCGGGGCAGGACGGGCCTGCAACCCGGGCTTCCTAAGGCGACCATCCATGCTGAGTGAGGCTCGGGCCAAGGTGAAGGTCGACCCTGACCATTTACCACCGAAAATTCTGTGCTCCAAGAACCTCTTAGTCCCAAACCAAGAGTCCCAAACTCCAGAGCGTCCAGCTCATGTCCAGAGCCAGAGCCCCCAACCCTCCCAGTCAAGACACCAGAGAAGCTTCAGCAGGCCTGGGCTCTGGACCCTGGAAGCCTGGCCAGTGGGCTCTCTGGACAGTGTCTCCCCCCACCCCGTCTTCCCCACCCCTGGTTCCTGGATACCTACTTGTGGGGCCGAGGCTGCAGACGGCCAGCAGCAAGGCAACAGGCAGGAGGAGTGAGCCGTGGTCCATGCTCTCCACCTAGTGGGGCGTGCGCTGGGCCTTATCCGGTGTCCAGGGGCAGGGCTGCGGTTGGGTGTGGGGGCTGGCGTGGGCTCTCGTGGGGACCCGAAGGGAGCAGGCGGCCGGAGCGATGGCGTCCCCGCTCCAGCCTTCTGCGGGGGCGGCTGAGGGATCAAGAGAAGTGGGCACGGGGACCTGGGTGTGGGCTGGAGACCACGGGCCAGCTGGCTGCCTGTGGATAGGGAGGGGGCTCTGGCTCCTGTGGACAGCAGAGAGGGAGGCCAGAGACACAGATGGAGAGCGGGGTCTGGCCCGTCTGACGGTCTGTGGCAGGGAGCTCTGGGCTCATCCAGCCCGGCTGGGGAGGCAGGAAATGCGCTTCCTTAGAAAAGGGGGCCGGGCCAGGCTGCCTGCCAGGCGGTAGAGGAAGTGCCACGGGCTTTGTCGCTGGGTGGGGGGGCCCTAGAAGGGACAGAGCAGGGTGGGGTGGGGTGGTAGGGTGGAAGCGCCAGGTTCCTGGCTTGTCTCCCCACCCACCCATCCCATCTCCTCCTGAGCTGGAGGGTGGCAACCCCAGGCCCAGATGAAAACAATCATTATAATAGCCCACCAAGGGAGGCCTCCGGGAAGAGGGCCTGGCCCCCTGAGACAGTCCAGGTGGGACTCATATTCCATGAACTCAGAATTTCCATTTTGTAGATGAGAAAACCGGTGAGGTGAGCTCATTGGCCCCAGATGGTGGTGGCTTTGGGATCTAAACGCATGGTCATCAAGTTCCAAAGGCCACTCCTCAGGCTGACCCCTTGTTTTGCAGACAGGGAAACTGAGGCCTGGGATGGAGGAGGAACTCCCCCGAGGGGGCACAGCAAGGCAGTTGGACTCGGAGAAGGCAGGGAGGCACTCCGGCCCACCCTCCGCCCCTCCATGAGGGGGAGTCCTCCAGCAACAAGGACGAACAAAGGAGAGGGGCCAGACCGCCAGTGTTTCTAAGTCAGAGGACCCTGGGCCACCACCCTGGGGTCTGTGAGACCGGTGAGCCCACGCACCCTCAGTCAGCCTGTCTGTGGAGGGACACAGCTACTTCCTTACCTCTCCAGCACTGAGCCGTCAGCCGGGCACGTAGAAAGTGCCCCTTAGTGGGGACCTCAAGCTCTCCTACATTCACGCTCCCTGACCCTGACTCACACGGCGACCCTGTCGGACAGGGTAGAACAGCCCCCGTGGGTTTCCAAGACAGCAACCCTTTAAGGGAGCTCCATCTCTTCTCTGACCTTATCCTGAAAACTAGATAATGCTGGAACCCAAGAAGGAGCTGTGCTTCTTCTGCAGACTGTAAACACCAACTGTGTGCTCAACATGTGTTAGGTGCGTGGAGGGCCCAAGGGGACTCAGAGGAGAGCCTGGGCTTCCTGGAGAAGGTGGCCTTTCGGACTGGCCTTTGAGAGCCTGGGCCAGCCTGTGGACCCATGCCGAGGCAGGACGTGGTCAGACCACCATGGGACAGCAGGGGCGTGGTCAGGACAGTTCCCACCCTGGGAGAGCTTTATTCTGAAGGCCAGGGGGACTTCTTGGCACTGGCAGAAACAGACCATGAGAAGGGGAGTCTTGGTGAGTTCTGGCCAGACTCGGGGAGGAGATGGAACCAACGGTGCTAGACACTAGAACAAAGGTGGCCCAGAGAGGGAGGAGTAAGATGGAGCCCTTGGCACCTCTGGGGAGAGGGTGTGGTCCTGGGGTCCAAGGCCTAAGCCCCAAACCCCTAGGTCGTGTAGGCAGGCGGCTCCGGTAAAGAGCCGGCCAAGTGTCTGTCTCCACAGGAGCTGACCCAGCCATGGGAAGGGCGTCAGGGCTCCTTGGGTGGGGATTCAGGGAAGGGTCAAGCTGGTCAATGCTACAGCCACCGGACAATTCCCAGCCAAGCGTGGGCGTGGGGTCAAGGCAGACCCACCCACGCCTGGCAGGCTGAGAGGGCTGTGATGTCGAAGGCCGATCCTCTGTTGTTTCCAGCAGCTGAGGAGGCTGGGAGGCACAATGAGGGCCGAGGGGCTGCCCTGCACCAGGATCTTCACCCCAGGGAGAGTGAGCCCAGCCACAAGGGCCCAGCGCTCCCTCTGCACCAGACCCTGCCCTAGGCGTTCCCCCTTATCTGCTTGGGGTCTTCACAGCCACCCCGGGAAGGTTGATACTGTCACACCTTCATTGCACAGAGTGGAACTTTCAGCCGAGTGAGGGTTAAATTACTTTCCCGGGGGCCCCCTGTGCTGTTGGGCCCCCAGCTCTGCTCCTTCCGGATCTCCATCCCCTGAGCTGAAGTTGAAGTGAGCGAATACATGGGACTGTGGGTGGGACAGGGGATGCAGGGGCGGGGGTGATTTTACCCATTTCATAGTGGGGGGGCGGGGGGCAGGGGAGGCAGGCAGTCATAGGGAATCCACTGGAGGCTCTTCTAACCCCCACCCCCCACCTACTCCCCACTTCTCTCCACTGTGAGCATTCCCACCGCGTCATAAACAAACCAATCAGTTCTCTAGAAAGCAGGAGAGACTCCAGAGGGACACGGGGAAGAACCTGTAGACTGCTAGAGCAGCGAAGCCCTGCAGGTAGCCTTGAGGGGGCTTGGAACTCTGAGCTCAGAGGCATTTGGAAGAAGGAAGAGATGGGGTCAAGGTGGGAGATGGAGTGGGAGGGCTGCCCTGTGGCTTCCCCAGCTCTCCCACCCAAGGGGGGAAGGACGCATGTGCCCTGTGCCTTCCCATGGAACTAGAAGCCCCCTGAGGGCAAGGACACCACTGTCCTCTGTACCACTGAGCCCCCAACCCAGATGGATGGAGCCCAGGTCTTTGGCCCTTGCGGTCTAAGTTACTAAAAGCATGAGGTGGGCTGGAAGATGCAGCAGGGTCAGGGAGGCGTGGAGGCACGTGGAAACTGAGGCACGGATCTCTGGGTCTTGCTCCTGGCCCCTAGTGGAAGAGGCCAGTCCCTGGCCCGGGAAGCTCGCTGGCCCTGCACAGGTCCTTTGCACTCCGCTTGGACAAGCCCAAGGCTGACAGGGGACACAAGCTGCCCTACAGCTGTCCCTGCATGAATGGACGGAGAAAGAGCTGACTACCCAGTCCTCTGCTCGGCTCCCGACAGGGCACGGGGCCTCACTGCCCTGAGCCAGGCCCCTCTACACAGCCCTGGACGTGATCCTGCTCTCCCTGTGTGTTGGTTGAGGGTGGCCATGGCCCATGCTGTTTCCAGACCAGGGATCCTGCAGTGTGCCTCTAGCCTGGCCCCCACCTCTGTAAACAGATCCCTCATCAAATTTTCCTCAATTTCTCTCATTTGAGTGTGCCATCTGTTTCCTGCGGGGGCCCTAACTGAGTGCGCCAAAGAGACACGTGGCCAGTGGCCAGGTCACTGTGCCTCAACCCCACAGTGGACTCCTTCCCCCTCCTGGCTGATGGGGAGACCAGGGCTACAGGAAAGGTCGGAGCACGTCTACCTTGGCCGCTCGCCACCAGAGGAATTTCAGGCCGCCTCCAGGGACACCCCCACCGCCCTCAAGGCGGCTCTCTGGCTCCATCCAGCTCCGGCCTAGCGCCAGGGACTGATGGAGACTACAGGACCAGACCTGTGCAGGCAGGGGAGACAGGGAAGGCAGAGGGAGGAGAAAGCCTTGGGTCAGGAATCAGGCTCTGCCCTTCACCGGTCAAGTGGCCTCATCCAAGATACTTCTACTTTCTGGGCCTCAGCTTCCTCGTCTGCACAATGGGGGGGCAACCCCAGCCTGGAGGAGCCCAAAGGAGCAGGACAAGCAGCAAAACTGCTATACAGGTAGCGTCCTTCTGGAAAGCGACATGGTGCCACCTCAAACTGGGAATGGGAATTCCACGGGTTCCACCAACGCCTCTCCTGGATGTCCACCCTAAGGCCGTCAGAGGTGTCACACGGACATGTGTAGGCATGCCCATGTTCGTACTAGCAAGAAGTCGGAAATGGCCCAAATGCCCAGCAGTGGACCGGATAAAGAAGCGCTGGTCCATAAACAGGATGTATTACAACACATTGCCAAAAAAACAACAATGAAAGCACACAACGCCCCAGGCCACGGATGGGCCTGGAGGATGTCATGCTGAGCAGTCAGTCCATCACCAAAGGACCAGTAGAGCAAAACCAGACAAGGACTTGCAGGCCAAAGGGGACAGACTCTGGAAGCTCCCCAGGGAAGGAGGGCAGTGGTGGAGGATGGAGAGACAGACCGGCAGGCTGAAGAGTGTTGACTTGGGTGGGATGGAGGATGGAGTTCCACAGAAGGGAGGGAGGGGAGGGGAGGAATCGGGGGTATGGGGGTGGGTCGGTGGGTGGGTTGAGCTTTGGGGCGCAGAGCTGATAGTCTGAAAGGTAAACTCCACCACCGTCTGATTCACAATGAAAAATTCATTTAAAGAAATTGCTCCAGGGGAACCGATCACAATGATCTACATCTAACCCCTCCCAGAGGGACGGACAACAGAAAAGTGGGTGAAGGCAGACAGTGGCCAGTGTAAGACATGGGGACGAAATTATAAATTTATAAATGATCAAGGGTTCATGAGGGAGGGAGGAAAGGTGGGGGAGGGGAGAATGAGGAGCTGACACCAAGGGCTCAAGTAGAAAGAAAATGTTTTGAGAATGATGATGGCAACATATGTACAAATGTGCTTATCACAATGGATGGATGGATGCATTGTGATAAGAGCTGAACAAGCCCCCGATATAATGATTTTTTAAATAAAGAAAGAAATAAAAAATAAAGAAATTGTTCCACAGCCCCATGCTGAGGAAACCAAGGCTCAGGTGTGGGAGACCAGGTCTGTCCTTCCTTCCTCGGCTTCCAGAACATGGCCCGCTCGGACCCTTATCTCTCTCCTCCTATCCTCTTCCTGGGCTTGAGCCTCGGGCCTCTTTCCTTCTCTGCTTCCTGCGCCCTCAAGTCAGGTTCTCCCAAACGTTTAGGACCTAAGCACTGGGGCACTGACTCAGGCCAAACACCTGTCTCCACAGGAGCAGACCCAGCAATGGGCAGGGGCTCCGACGAGGGAGTGTCTGGGGACATCCCAGTCCACTTGTCCAGGATCTTTCTGAAGCCCCTTGCATGCGCATGCGGGCCAAGAACTTGTATCCTGCCGCACTTTCTCTCAAATGTCCATCCCAAGTCCCTCTGTCGGTCTTGTTTCCCTCTGGTGAATCCTGGCCATGAAATAGGGTACCTTAGCATCCTCGATACGCTCCCAGGGGCAGGGGCGGCTGGTGCGATGGTTTGAACTCAGCCAGCAGCATGCAGGGGAAAAGTGGGGCGGTGAAGGTTTGCTACTGTGAAGGCGA